GTGAACATTAATGTCAGAATCTATACCCTAAATCTGAGGTATACGTCATATCCGGAGGAAACAAGGAATACACTCTGAAAGGCCTCAGCACTAATCATTTTATGATTTTTTCTTTTAATGCCACCAATAATTAGATCTTCTGGCCACCGCATTGTTTTCTTGGCGAAACCATCACAACCTCCAGTCATCAATTCTCCATAATCTGGGTAAACAGGTTTCTCGTTCTGCAAAAAGGGTATAATCCGGAAACAAGCAGTGAGTATTCTGCACAGAACATGAAGAAAAATCCTAGTGCTTCACTAGAAACAATTCACCACGTGCCCTCCTCACTTCTTTAGTCTTAAGTATTAATCAAATAGGAATAAACAGTCCCATCCTTTCATATTATAGAACAACCTCAGATAAAAAATCTCCCCAACGTTCTGGGTTCTTATCCATCCATTTCAAGAAACTTTTTCGGTACTGCAGACACTTCTTATCTTCAGTCTTTTCCCTGTTATCAGTACCTAAAAAAATTGTCCTTTGGCAATCGGTGAATTATATAAATGAAAAAAAACACAAAATGGTAAACCTTTGTAATTTAAGTATGACTCTGCTTTAGTATCTTGTCTAAAAGTTTACTTAACAAGTGTTTAAAAAGCTATCAATATTAACAAAAAAAGAACTTTGCTACTTACACAAGATCAGAAAAAATAATCAGTCAACGTACTTTTTGAGCCATTTAACTGTGCTGCATATTCTGCATCGTCATCATATGCATAGTAATCATCATCACTTTTTGCAGAATCGTTCCCCAACTTCGCAGGTGCTTGACGTTTTCGCCTACCTCCTAAGAATGAAAAATGCAAACAACTAAAGAAAAAGAAAAGCTGCAATAATCTAAGGGGTAAAACTAAGCAAAAACAAATTAAAAATATATTACCGATAAATTTCTGGAATAAAGAACCATCTGAAAGTGCCATGTCTTCTTTCGGCAACTGTTCAGCATCCAAATGAATTGCCTCATCCATAGGCTTCGCGTTATTCCAAGCTTGAAATTTCTTCAGTGCCGAACAAGAATCAAAACCATTTGGACCACTTTGTGGGCAGTCAGGATCCAATGGATCAATGCACCATCGATCTAAGTACGCAGAACCGATACCAGCCTATGATAGAAAATTAAAAAATAAAATCAGCCGAACGTAAAAACCGCAGATATCTCAAAATCAAATAAAAATAACTTTTAAAAATATAGACATCATGTAAATACCCTTTCAAAAAAATTCCCTATAGTTCCAAGGTCGAAAAGCGTGCTGACTTCGCGAAGAACGGCACTAGGATCTAAGTTCTTCCAAGTGACATTGCCTTTTGGCATGCTGCTGATAAAACTTTGCACTTCCGGACTA